GACCCTCTTCCAAAAAAAGGAGGGCAAAAGAGAGAGTAAGACAGAGGTGGAAGCACAGGGATTTGGGGGGGGAACGTGCTGAGTGCCACGGCCACCATGGCAGCTGAGGGGAACGGCACGACGGCCATTTCACTGCCCCTGCGGAGAGGTGTGAGGTGGCCCGTGCTCCCCATTGGCTGCCCGTAGCCCTTGACCCGCCCTCTGGCAGAGAACAGCCAATTGCAGGGGGCCGCTCTCCCCTGACAGGCTGAGACTGACAGGGCGGGGCGCTCCTCACGACACATCCCGCCATTTTGTCTGAGGCGGAGCACCCCCTCCACAGCCCCATTCCCTCTCCCCTCACCCCCACAAGGACTGCAGCGTCCCCTCCAGCCCAGACCCCTTCTCCTCAAGGCTCAGGTAAGACCCTGCAGGTGCAGCTGCAAGGTGTGGCATGGCCGAAAGGCATTTTGCCACCAAATGAACATTGAAAGGGCTGAATACCAAAAACTCTGGTAAAAAAAGGCGTCACCAGGGCCACATCTATGGTAGTGAAGTCCCAGGAGAGCGGAGGCTCTATGCAAAGGCTGCTGGGTATCCACTGAGGGTTAGGACTTGGATGGCCTAAAGAGTTTGCAACAATTTCTGTCCCACTTCTGCCACTGAGGTGCTCTCATGGGGCCCAAAGTCTTACCACCCTGTCCTTAAACTTTCCTTCCCACCCTTTTGTCTGTTAAACGGTATTTGGGTCAGGAAATACCTTTCATTATAACATTTATATTCTGCCTGACATAACCTGCAGGAGGATATCTCTAAAATCTAGTCAGAAAACTAAAGAAAAACAAAACACAAGAACTGAGGATCAAACGAGCCCAGTCACAAGCCAAAACTGGTTTAACAGGAGTTACATCATATACTACTGACATTAAATAATTTCCTCATATGATTATAAACAAGGGGGAGTGGAAACTCCAGTGTTTTGTGAATGATCATGTCCTTAAAAACAAATACAAACCCCACACTTTTTCTAGCTTCACAATAAACAGTAGTCAAAATAAATAGCCTGAACAGTGATACGTCCTCAAATCAAGACAGTGCAGCAAAAGTGAAAGATTATTGTTCCCATTAAGCAGAATTTATAATTCCTGGGACATACATGAACCTTCACCTAACATTTCTTTTTCAAGAAAAATATAGAGTCTAACAATGACAGCAATTCTTTTTTTTCCTATCCCCTCATTTTATCTCTGTAACTAAAGCTTTTCTTTTGTTGTGATAATGATTTTATCAATAATTTATGATTATTTATTTTAATATACTAATCACATTCATCATTAATATTATACCAGGGTGAAACATATTCTATTTCAAAGGTGATTTTCATGGTAGAGAGTGATTTAGCAAAGATTAACTGTTTTCCTAAAAACTATTTATATCAGGTTTTCTGATTTTCAGTGGAATTTATCAAAGTGCTTTTATTTACATTGACTAGTGAAAATGAAACAGCCTATCTTCACTGAAATGAGTCTTTCTGATTTCTCTGAGTGAAACCTTTTTGAGATGATCACTTCAGTTTTCCTTGAAGTAAACATTTTCTTTTCATGCCAAAATTATAAATTTGCCCTACTTGTCAACTGTAAATGAAAATTAACAGGTGGGAATTTCCTATAGAATTACAAATTTTAATTTCAGCAATATGGTACTATTCTGCCTAATAATAATTAAATTCAACTGCTCCTTAGAGTTCCAGCCACGCACAAGTACGTATTGTATTAGATGTTGCTTAAAGATAGGACAGGGAAAAAAAAAAATTACAGACACAGAGGGGTTCTTATCTCATCCAAAATCTCCCCAGCAGTACACCAAATGAAAAATCAGATGAACATCTCTCCATAGTAGTACTCTGTTTCACCCTTTCTTTCTTGAGGGGGGACATTTATGAAGCTATTTTTATTTGGTGTCTTGGACCTATCTGCGAGATATGTTTGTACCAGCTAAAGCAAGTTCAAAGACAGAGTCCATGCTTTGAGAACAGAAAATGGTAAGGTGTTTTGGAGTCCTTCATGCCTGTGAGATTTTGCCCCTTGGTCACAACTGGGTCTTCAAACTTTCTCCCAAGCACACAAATTTGGCTGTTGTGGTGGCTGGTTTCACTGGCCTACTCAGACAGAGTCATCACCTCAGGCTTTGGTTGGTCTTCTTGACCATGGATGGGCCCAAGCTACAAAATGCCTTCAAATTTTGGACCAAGACTGTGAGAGAAGCAGGGGGAAAAAAAGTTGTTGTCATAATTTTCCCATATCATGTGGAAATGATGATGGCCAGTTAAAAATCACCACATTTTCCTCTTAGGAAAGAGAAACTGAAGAACAGAAGTGTGTGTGTGGTTACATGTCAAGCACTGGAACTCCTTTTGACTTCACATACTTTCCCCTTATTTCTAATTAACATGTTGAGGAATTTTAAAATGTAATAAACATTATTTCTAAACAACCAGAAAGTAAAGCTTGCTTATTTCTGGTTTGATGTAAACATTTATAGCACAGCTCCATCCTTAAACAGTTAATCTTATAGTGACCTATTAAAATAAAATGAATTGTGTTATAATTCATCCTAAAGCAACCTCAGGGTTAGTGTATCAGGTAACTCCTGCTTTTGCAGTCCTCGTGACATTTTTAATCAAATTCAGCTGTAATTGCTGGAGCATACACATGCCTCTTTTAATATTCTGCCTACATTTGGGACTCATATGAGTCTGTTTTCTCTTAACGTATCTAATAAATAGAAAACATGAAAAGAGCACATTTTTCAGGACTCCGAGCTTTTCCACCGTTTCATTTGTTCTAGCAATTGTCTGACAGGCTTATGAGAATCGAGCACTTGTCAGGTTTCCCCCACACACCTTGGATAAAATTCTTTGTGGGTTTTAAGTCACTGTTTGTGTTGCTAGCACCCTGTTAAAGGGGGCATAGGCACAGGCAAGAGCAGCTGCCACAGGAGCAAACTGGAAGCGCCTATGTGCGGGAGGGAGTGATTTCATAGGCATCTTTAAAAAATCACTGCCAGTGATGAATGTTGAAATGTTGCTTACACACAAGTCACCTACAGTTTGTTGATGAAAACTTGAAATGTCATGTCTGCATTGGAGCTATTTGTGTAAACAAAACTTCTGTTAACTTTCTCTGCTCAGGAGTGTGTGGGGGGGCGGTGGTTGATTTTTTTTTTTTTTTTTTTTTTTTGGTCGTCTCCAATGCTACAGCTGTTTCCAATTTGCCAGCAATTTTCTGTTGGGCTAGTAAAGCTCCCAAGATGACTGCAACTAGCCACATGGGTTTCTCGACTGGACTGCGGGGTTTGATTACAAGGGGTAGCAAACCCCGCTCAGGATTCAGGGCAAGCATTTCCCCTGAACTTGTAGGTGCTTTACATCCTAAATTTTTGTTAGCGCCAACCTTTAAAGTTTATTTCATTGCAGCTTATCAGGCGCACGTGCTCAGTGGTCCCTGTCAGAGCCAGGCTGAGATTTGGGGCGCGTTTGCTTAAAAAATAAAGGAAACTCGCATGCAAAAGGCACGGGGGAGGGATGCAAGCGCCTGTTAACTGCCCCTCAACGAAAATAAGAGGAAGAGAGTTTTGTTAACACAATAGTAAGCCCTCGGGGTTCCTCTTCAGCTACGTGTTTTGTGTAATTCACACGTGGAAACGTGAGAAAAGAATGAAAAATGACTTTGAAATGTGATCTGACTCGGTCACTAGCTAGCTCGGTTGTGAGTGTGCAGAAAGAGTTGTTCGCATCCCCACAGAATAATGAGATTAAAGTTTACAAACGGCATTTTTAACCCCGATGCGTGCAATTTTTTTTAAAGACAATTAAAAATGACAACGCTGATTATTTTTTTTTTTCCGATTCACTTTCTCTCCTAAGCACCTCGCAAGTCCCTCCTGTCACGTTGATTTTTTCAACCTATCGGAAGTTATCTTCTCTCTAAAATCCCTGTCGCTTTACCTTGCCTAGGAAACCGTTAACACAAACAACAACAACAATTATAATAATAACAAAGAATCCGAAGAATTTCGATATTAAAAAGTGGCTCTGGCGAGGTCCCTGGTCACTGTGTACAGGTCTGAGTCTGTTTTCCTTGGAAATTAGGAGGAATGCTAAACGCCTCGTCGACCAGAGAGTAAATTGTGTGCGGAGCTCTAGGCACGGCTCCCAAGTTGCCCTTTCACCCCTTCACTTTATATGTTCCTCTTATTAAGGAGAAAAATGTTTCAATATGTTGGAATTTGGGGCAAAGCCGGGAAGGAGAGAAAGAGAATAGAGAGTGGAAGGACATTTTCCAAATAGTTTTGGTAACCCTTCTGAGGGTTACATTTAAATTGATGTCGTACTAAAATCCCTAGAAGTTTCTTGCCCAGGTTAGTGCAAAATATTATCTGCGAACCCTTCTGAGATTACAATATGCACCAGAAACGTGACCCCGGGGGGGTGGGGGTGTATTGAAATCTCTGAATTAAAGAATATATCCCTGAAAACAATACATCTCTGAATTGTTTCCTTTCCCTCCCTAAACGCGTTTCTATGTGATAGGGTATTATTAAATCTGGAGGTTTCAGCTTGCAGAGATAAATGCTGAATTCTTGATCCAATAGAGAGAAGAGTTTCGAGACGATTTCATCTCCCTTTTCCAGCCGTGTACATCTGCAGCGTCGTCTGTCATGTTTTCAGTTCTGCTTCAGGGGGAAATGGGTTAACTGTTTGCAAGGTAAGAGTCAGGAAAAAAAGCTCAAAGTAAGGAACGATGATTTAAAAACGGATATTTGAAACTTCCTTATTTAAAAAGGGGATTTAAAGTAGCACTTGAGCTCCACTCAGCGTCTCTTTTCGGCTTGACTCCTCAGCAATATTTTTTAAAGAAAGTTGTAAATTTTTTTCTCTTTTTTTTTTTTTTTTTTTTTTTTTTTTCTTGTTCTTTAAAGTGGCGAGTAGCGCCAGGCGGGCTCATTGGGCGAAGATGTCACATAGCTATGATTAATCTGAGGGAGCAGCTGAAATATTGATAAGGGGGAAAACGGAAATCAAATGAAAAGTAGAGGGCATAGAAGAGAGGGAAAGGAAAGCACGTCCTGGAGCTGCGAGCATTACAGAAGCCCCCTGAGGAAATGCCTGGTTGATGCAGCCTGTCTGGATGGGCTGGGAATTTTAACTTCAGCGCTGCTTTGGATCTAACAAGTTTAATCTCTCTTCTTTGCAAAACTGCAGCAGCAGGGTAGTAATCCAGAACTGGTGGGGAGTTTTATTTTTGGTCTCAACCTGGATCTTTACAAACTGCTCTGCCACTGGTTGAGGGGAAAGGGTATAAAAGGTGAGTCATTTAAATAATAGTAATAAGAATAAGCAAGAGGCGAATCTAAAAGTAGTTTAAGAGGCCCTTTTATATTGCGGCTGATGCTGGCAGGGCAATACGATTGATAAATAATCCACAGCAGACTTCTTAAGACTGGTTCCAAATATGCAGATGTATTTATTTATATGAACATGCGTAATTATAAGAGGGAGGTAATCGGGGGTGGGGGGAGAGCTAATCAGGGGTAAAGAGGGGAGCAGGGGAAACTGATATGTGAATCCTTGACCCTAGAAAATTTACTGGCTAAGCAAAATTACCTTGTCCCTCAACTCTGTCTACCCCCACCCCCCGTTGCAAGTTCAGAAGCAAAAGAAACTGGAATGTGTTAGGAGGGAGGACGACAGAAAAAAAAGTATTGTACTTATCAGAAACACATTGTCGATTTTATAATCAGTTGCCCTTCTGTGCCAGCTGGCCGAGTAATAAATGCTTTAAAAATCAATAAAGGCGGGGGGGTGGGTTACATGCACATAGCGAACTTTTCCAGAATTGTTGGGCTGTGGGGTTTGGGTTTGTTGGTTTGGGTTGTTTTTTTTGGCTTTCTTTCTCTCTCTTTTTTTTTTTTTTTTTTTAAAAAAAATGAGCAGATGTTTCAAAGCAAGCCGGTGGCGCTGGCTCTGGGGGCACGGAGGTGTTTCCCTGGCATTGCGGGGGGCGAGGAAGGGCGCTCCCCGGGGCTCCCGGGCGGCTCCCGGGCTGCGGGCGCGGGCAGCTTCAGTCAGCCAACCAAGGACAGGTCCTGATGGTCCTGATTCACCGGCGCTGTCTGGGTTCTGTTAGAGCTGGGCAAACTGAACTAGCTGCAGAGTTAGGACCCCACACCTTTTCCTGAAAACCTTGAGGGGAAAAAGAAAAAAAAAAAAAAAACAACAAACCCAAAACCACCCAACCCAGGAGTATTGATCACTTGTGCGCGACTCTTTCTTATCCTGAAGTATAATTTTTCCATAGCAGATTTCTAACTTTTCCCTTCCCACCCCTGGAAAATGGGACCGTTAGAATAGCAGCAGCACTTACGACCTGCATGCTAAGGTCGAGGGGAGGGGGGAGGCTCGTGCTTCTTAACGATGCACTAATTACAGTAAACTAATCGCTTTCTGACGCTTTTCAGGGGGACTAAAGATCCTGAAAGGAGCGGGTAGAAAAACTAGTTGTCGGATATTTTAGTGACTGCAGATTTATTTTCCCACACACCATTACATTTTTCACGATCGTTGTTAATCTCTACATCTCTGTAGTGATGACTTGGGGGGTGGGGGGGGAGAGTCAAAAAAACCTCTTCATCAGGAGATCATCAAGTCTTGGAAGTACAGAAAAACAGATGTACTGCATTGATGCAAGCCTGAGATAAAGCACAGCTATGTTTGACTGAGTAACGGCACTATCCAAAATAGAAGGGCTGAGATTGACAACACTGGGGTTTTTTTATTGCTATTTGGAATGATACTTCCGTTCGCCTTTTTTTTTTTTTTTAATTTATTGTTTAATTATTATTGGTGAGAAAGGTTCTTTAAATCAATAGAGGCCGGCAGGTTAATGGCTCGGAATGGTTTCAATGAGTCACGAAAGGCAACTGCCCTTCATTTAGACCAAGTGAAACCCTTGGATACAAGTCAATAGGGTTAACTAGTCTCGACATGAAAACATGAGTATTTCAGCTGGCTTTTAATTGTTGGCTAAGAAATTCAGTTAATCAAATGTCAAACATTTCCCTCTGCTTTGGTCAAAAGTGAAGAAGGCTCTTTTCCTGAGGGGGCAGGCAGGAATCCAAAAGCAAAACCAAACTGTTGTTAAAGCATAGAAATAAAACCCTGCTTTATGAAGTCCTGTCTATTACTTGACTTTTAGTTGCTGTGGTGGACATTTTTCTGTGTCTTTTAAAAGGTACACTTAAATGCTTGATCACTTCTCTTTAAATTTTATTACTAATCTTACTTTTAAACAACGCTCTGTTTCTTTACTTTTCTATATGCATATATATGACTTGATATTTTTTATTATTATTATTTCAGGTCAATTTTAGGACCTTTTAATATATCTATTAAACAAGTAAGGATGTTTCAGACTGTACCAGACACTTCGTCTTACGTCAAGGTAAGACATGACAGCATCTTTAAACAGGTAATGTCAAAAATTACAATCCTCCAAAATTCACGATCGTTTGTATTAGTTGAAAATCTCATTCCTGTTCTCACTGAATTTAGCAGAAAAAAAAATAATCCTCTACCTTCAGTGGGAGAGGGGTTGAAGTCTCAAGTATCAGAGTTATCATTCTGGAAATATGCAGGGTTGAGTCAAAAGTTGTATCACCAGGGACCAACAATATGTTAAAGTGGTCTGCGTAATGCATTGATGCTTGGTTTGATGGGTTATACTATAACTAGTATTATAGTGAGGGTGTCCTGAATTACATTATAGTAGTGGCTTGTTTCTCTGAAACCAATATGATGGTGGTGGTGTGCTACCAATGTTATAACATAGTGGTTTCTTAAATTGGCTTCCAATTTTCTGATTTCCTAGATACCATTTAGTCTTGAACCAGAGCTAAATTTCATTTAATATCCCCCTACTTCTCTGCTGCGCCGACTACTGAATTCAATATGCGAGATGATATGTGAAGTTATGTTTTTTGAAAGGTATATTGCAAAATGGATTTAGAAAGGAAAAAATATTTAATGAGTTAAACGAAAACATCTCTTCCAGTTACTGAAGAAGTGGATTGTCACACCAGGCAATGCAATATAATACTGGGATTTCCTTCAGAGTGTTACTTATGGTTTCCCTTGAGCAATGCTTCCATACAGTTTAGTAGGCAAACTGACTTCAGCTGGTACTTCAGTTGGTTTTACTGATAATGGCTAATGCCAGATACTACAAATCATACTCTATAAATAGTTGTTTGTATATATCTTTTTTTTAAAGTTAAAAAAAAAAAAAAAAAAGGATCTTTAGAATGTATTTTGATGGGCCTGTTCTGCCTCTTTTTCATAAGATTAAAAAAAATACCAAAGAAGGGTTGGCACAGCCTTGTCCCTTTATAACTCAATTGAGTACTCTATTATATTTGACATCATATAGGTTTTTTTCCACAACAGTTCCCAAGAATGTAAATAAACCAAGCCTGGGACATCTGGGTTACACGTTTAAGGCAAACCCTGCATGCAACAGCACTTAGAGAAAATCTAAAACACAAGCCTCTTCTCTCCCAGGCTGAAGAAACACAGAAGGGTGTTAACTAGAGCTGGGTGGATAATTTGTAATGAATAATTTATTACAGGAATTTAGTCTCTTTTTTTTTTTTTCCCTTAGTCAATGATCCATGCGCCAGTTGTGATTTTCATGTACATACACATTATTGGAATTGATTCACTGAATGATTTCTGTATATAATCCCTAGACTATGGCTCATTTTGCAGGCAGTTTGTTAGGAGCATTAGTATATGAAATGTAAGTTTGGTGGGATGACTCCCAGGTCATGTGGCATTACTTGTATTCCCTGATTGGGTGAATTTGTGCAGCTCTCTGGACCAGGTTTCTAGAGCAAATCCAACCAGAAATTATCAAGATTGTGCATTCAGTTAATATCCCCCCAAATCACGCTCCTAGCTCAGCATTTCAGGGAATGTTGGTGATTTAATTTTGCTTATTAAATTTGTATAGCTTTGGACCAGATTCTGGAATAATAGAAACTGTGGAAAACAAATGAAATTCAAGTCTCACAAAAGCAATTTCCCTCAAAGTTCAAATAGAGAAACATGTATATAGAGCCTATTTCCAGCTTTAGCATTAATTTCTCTTTGGAGTTCCTCTCCGTGGGAAATGATCTGAGATGTGTTCTGTTTACAATGAAGAAATGAAGGCCCTTTGACATCCTATATTATGGTATCATTGCCTTTTGTTGCAAGGCTAGATTCAGCTGCTGCTCCAGTTAGTAGCAAAATTCCTTTTGAATTAAGTGGAACCAAGATCCAGGCCTAAATAATTTAACATTCCAGCAGGATTGAGTGAGTCTGTCCATAACTGTGTCAGGATAGCCTTTTCATTAAGTACAATCCTGCAGGCAAAGTGCTTGGACAAAGTTCTTCTCTTCAAATAAGTATGTGTTTTATCCACCAGGAAGTACTCCTTGGGCTGGACTTATATCCAGTGTTTCAGCAGTGGAGGGATAAGTGAGCTGTGTAATGCTGATCTCTGCCTTTTATTACAACCCTTCATCATCAGCTGCCGTTATTTTAGGCAAGGACAATGTCTTTGGTATTTTGCCTGTAAAGCTTCATTCACACCACTGCCATTGGGGAAATGGCTTGTTCCTGTGCTTAAAAAACTCAACAGGGTTTTGACAGTAGTCTCTTAAGACTGATCCAAAGTCTTCTGAAGACAAAGGAAATATCTCCCACTGACTCTTAAAAGGTTGAAGTTGGGCAGTTTGGTACCAGTGGTGCAAAATGGCACCTGGGTAGCTCATTCAAACCAGTGAGGTTGTTCATAAAAGTAGGAACATGGTTAAATTCAGGAGAATTAGAACCTTAAGCACATGGGTTAGGTCAGTCTCTGGCCCATTTGAGTATGGTGACAGTTTCCACTGACTCCAACAAAGAGATTCCAACTGGCTTATTTATAACAGAGGTGGGATTGACTAATGATCTAGGCAGACAGTCGGGAAACGTGGGTACAGATCCAAACCCTGATGGAGTGGGCTTGGTGTTCCTGAGCAAGACACTTCAACTCTGTTCCTCCGTTTCTCCATCTTTAAAGTGTGGGTGGAAGTGCTGTGTAAGAACAAGGCGCTGGTCAAATTTAGGCAGCACCTGCCTTCTGCTTCCCCATGTTGGTCTTTGAGGACTTCCTAACTTGTGGTGAGCAAGAAGTTTGAAAAGCAGGAGCTTAAGTTCCAATGCCCCTCTCTTCCCAGGTATTATTAGTATTAGTATTAGTATTATTTTCCTTCATGTCATTCCTTCAAAAAAACTTATTTGCTTGTCCCGTGAGAGGGAGAAGCATTTTATTTATTACTTCTGTGGGTTCTCAGCTGATGATGTGTACACCATCCCCATTACAGAGCAGAAAAAGCAGAATTAGGTTCCATGTCTTCTATAAATCCTCTTCCACAGACACACCATGTATATAAACTTTATACTTATTCTGTACCTTGTACCAAAAAATGCCTTGTCTCTATGTGTTGTAGATGAGAGGGGGTTGCTAGCAGGGTGTTCCACAGGAGCTCTGAGAGGGAACAAATTCACTGTTGTACCCCTGGGGTACAAAATAGCCTATGGCCACCTTCAGGCCATACTGTTTTTCTTGTCATGGCTTTCAAAATGCAAAAAGAAGGTGTGGGGACAGGTAGCTGGAGGAGGAAGAGGAGGATTTAGTTTTTAAAATGGTTTGTTTTAACAAGGATGGCTTATTTTGAGTCATACTGGCAAAGTTCAGCTTCTTGGTGTTGTAACTTTGATTTCCATCACAATCAAATAGGACGTATGGATCTGTACCTCAAGCCCTGTTAAAAAACCCTACATAATCTCATGACAGGACCATGCAATCTTCTCTCTCATATACACTTCTTGTATTGGCCTTAACGTGATGGAGGGGTAGGAAATCATAGATATAAAAAATAATTTTGATCTGTACTGGTTTATTCTATATAACTGATAAGGTATTTTTATTCCTTATACAGTTATGGGACTTACTGATCTGCAAGTACTTAATAATTTACAGTATATCAGAGGGTGCTAATCTCATCTAAACATGAGTATTTGACTTTAGAGAATGAAACATGTAATATAATTAGGAAATTAAATTTTAAAAGACATCACTGGAATCCTGACTGTAGGAATATGGAAAGAATTAAGGCTATAAGCAAAGCAACATGACCTCGGAATACTGAATTTTTAATTACTAACATTGCCACAAGCTACTCCGGGCCCCAGAAGACTTCACTCCCCTTCTGCACTGCCAGTTTGTGGTTTACTCCGTGTGTAAAGGCGGTTTAAGGATAATTTTGGGGGTGTGTTATTCACCCGCGCTTTCCTTCTGCGGCAACATCCAAACACTTATCTCCTATCGCTCCCCTCCTCGCAAAGAGAAAGTCATTGCTTCTGCTTTCAGTTCCCCCGCCTGTAAACACACCTCCTGCCCCCCAAGGCAGCGCCTGAAGCTTTCGGGCCTCTGCAGAGCATCCTGAGGCTGGGGGGAACCCTCTTTTCCTGGAGCCCCTTTTCCAGCAGCCAGCTCTGCCGGCTTGAGACAAGACCCGCTGGGTCAAGCCCCTGGGCCTGTGCAGGAGCAGCAGAAACTCTCCATCACACGGGAGAAGGTATCCTGGCATCCCCCCGCTTCCCCCTCCTTCCCTCTGCCACGCCTGGCATGATATTTAAAACAGTTTCCCGAGGTGAGGGGGATATTTCAAGCAGTCCCTCCCCCAAACTGCTCAGGTAACCTGCTGGGACGCCTTGGACCCCTGCAAACCCTTGCGGGGAGGAGGTGTGCTCGCTTCCCACTCTGACCCCCCAGGAGTTTTGGGGAACAGTCGCAAAGCAACTGCATGTTCCCGGTCTCTGGCCTTTGAACGGGCATGGCACTGGGCTTTCCTCCGGGAAGGAGCCACCGTGCAAGCACGGGGCTTCTCCCTTGAAAAATGGATTTCATGCAGCCATAACGTTTGTGGGGCCGTACAAAGCAGGATATTCATGGAGGCAAAATAGTCTGGGTGGCTGGAAACAATATTTGGTTTGTTCTTGCTTTCACTCTGCCTGGAAAGTTTACAGAAGCCCTGAAGAGAGAGGGGGGTTTATTTTTTTTTTTTTTATTTTTTTTTTTTAAGGACAAAACAGTGAGATTTTCTTTGGGGCAGGCAATAGGGAGGCTACTGAGAATCCCGGACACATTATCTTTCCTGCAGAACAGTAGCAGCCAGCGGCTGCTCGGGGACAACAGGTTGCGAGCAATGAATATCCCATTATTTCAGTTTTTTACATCAGAAATCTCGCAGAGGAGATGGTTCCTGCTGAATCAGCTGGGGGGAAGGCGCCGCAGAGGAACCTGTACACGGGCCATCCCACAGGTGCTCAGGGACCCACGCATGCTGGAAATGCAGCTGCGTGGAGCTGACAGAAACTTGC